TCGACGTATGTATGCGTGCATACTGCGCACCGGGAGAATTAACGAAGTCGAACCAATCGACATCCCCAGGCGCCCAATTTCCAAAATTGATCTCGCCAGCGCGAGAATTGGTCGCCACGCGGGAGAACGTCAACTTTTCCCAAGTGTCAATCGGATTTCGATTGAACCCGGAAATCGCGAGACATTGTATTCCTCGGGGAGGGAGAAGGTACGATTAACAGGGATGCCGAATTGATTTCGCTCGTAACGAGGAGTTGAATCCTCAGGCGCAGAGAGATCCCCCCCCCCCTCCCAACCCTCGTTTCGGAGCGAAACTCCAACGACTGGGCTCGCGATTTGAATAATCACGATGGCTCTTGAATCGGGAAAAAGAGTGTCAATCTGCACGCTCGGTGCATGGCGACTTTCTCGAGGCGAACGCGCGTCGAAAGCCCATGACGCGGGAGAGGAAGGGGCGCGGAGGAAGGAGAGGAGAAACGCACAGACCGCGGCTGCCATTAGCGAGCGCGGCGACTCCGTCACAACGAGAACGAGAACGAGAACGAGAACGAGGATGAGAACGAGGACGACAGCGAGGCACCATCGAGCGGCGGCTGCCCAATTAGCGTTAATCCTTGTTAATCCGCGTCTCTTCAATCTGCATTCCTTTGTTCTTCGTTCGGGCCGCTTCGCGGGCCGACTATCGCGACAGTTTACGACTACGGAGCGGAATATTTCGAGTTGGTAGCGAAGGTTTCAGCCGGAAGCGGCGAGAGGGAACGGGAGAAAGGAAGGGACTGGAAAACTAAACGTGGAAGCGGGGGGAAGGGATGGTGGAAAAGCGCCGATACCCAGAGGGAGAGAAGTAAGCCGGAACGACGACGGGATTCCTATCTCTCGGCGAGTTTCCACCGGCAATTTTATTCACGACTGTCGATCCTTCCGGCGCGGCGGCGGAGGCAACCGTCGACGAGACGAGGGAGCGGCGAGAAGCGGGGCTTCGAGATGAACTCGAGAAAATATCGGGTAACGAGCATGACTTGGAACGACGGACCACCGGCGTATCGTGCCGGGTATTACTGCGCGCGTTTCCCGCCGCTTGAAATCGGGCGAAAACGTTAATACATTGACGGCTGCCGGCGTGCACCAGACAATATCGCGTCTGGACAATGAAGTATCGTATTATCGGAGAATGTGAACTTCCGGGAGTCTGTAACGCATCGTGTGAATTTGAACTATTTCGCGTAAAGAATGTCGACAGTCGAGTGAAGTTCATATTAAAGGTAAAGCATAAAACAGACATGAAGGATCCTTGGACCTTCTGGAACCGCGAAATCCCTCAGAGGAATGAAGGTGCTACCTGAAGACTATGAATGACACTCGGAAGTAAAGAGTCGGATAAACTGCAGCGGATAAACTTTTGAATAAACATCGAATTGTGCACGAGTATAATTGTATAAATTGGATAATTTTATATATATATATATATATATATATATATATATATATATATATATATTTCTTTACATTCGCATATAGCGAACGAATCTCAATTTGTTTTTAACGTGCAATTACGGTAATAATTGGAGGGCAATTGGAAGGTAATCTCTGTCGAGTGAATATTATTGCAATTCTAATAAAATCTGTTATTTGTCAAAAATGTCGAAAACGTCAAAGTATGCTGTATGTTGGTAAAATAAACGTCCGTCCTGGCGTCCGTACTTATCCGTGTTGCGAACATTATTGAGGTCAAGAGAAATACGTAACACTTATGACATGGACGTGCTCCGACCCAGCCTGACAAATCATTTCTAAACTATTTGACCATTTAAGAGAGTCCAACTTAGGCAATTAATAAATTTAGTCACAATTACACAGTCAAAATTAGTCAATACGCATATAGAGTTGCCAACAGGATAGTTTTTAGAAGACAACCGTTCAGAAATGCCGTCCCATCCGAGTCATTCTTGCGGGAGTGAGTTGGGAATGAAAAATTTTGAAAACCTCCCATTCTTCCCGACTGGTCTCAACTCCTCAGAGTTCTATGGAGAGATGTAAAAGAAAGACTCTGAGGAAATTAAAGGGGTTCTTCTCTTTCAAGTAGTGTTCAAAAGTATTTTAAGTTAATAGAAGTCAGAACAGAATCACAGCAAAAGTTAATAGTATTACTCAGCAAGTGGCATTTTAAAGAGTAATCAGTAGTGAGTAATCTTTAATATTTTGATTCAAGCAAGAATCTAGTGGAAGCCGTCAGGCTTAGTACGCGATAAAATCGAAACAAGATCAATCATAGTTATCGTGGGTGGTCCTTCGTACCCCAAGGGATATCAGCAAAGATGCAAGATCGACGCAGGTCGTGACTGTTCCCTTAACAGTAACATTTTATAAGAAACAGGCGTCAAATTGACGGACGAGGGTTAAGACGCTTAACCGAGACGAGGGAAATAATGCTCGCGCACAGAGAAACAGAGAGAAAGAGACAATCGTGCGTCGTCGTGTGAACGAGCGATTGTGGTGCTCGCTTGCGAAAAAAAATCGCGCAGGCAGACGGAAAGAGAGAGAGAGAGAGAGAGGCTCGTCAGAGGGAAATTACGAGGGTGTAGAGGCCCGGCCGGTGGGGGAGGGAATCGATTGGACTCGCGCTGTCAATCTCGTAATCGAGGGCGCGTTTTGTTATCGGTTTAACCGAATAACGCTCTCAAACCGATCGAAAATTCGGAGAAATTGCGACGCACGTCGGTCACCGTCCTGAAATTTCACGCTGGCCGAACGTCGAACCGGTTGGTGTCGTGTTGCGTCTCCGCGCGTCGCGTTCCACTCCCCGGAGTGGAACACACTCCGGTCCACTGTCGTTCGACGCGCGGCGCGGCGCGGCGCGGCGCGGCGCGGCGTGGCGTCCGCTGTTCACCGACCACTCTCTCTCCTGCTACTACTACTGTGCCCACCATCCCGGGCATCGGCCGCCGCAAACCATTTTTACACGCGGTCACCATTTGGCGCCGTGCGAAATTCATCTCGGCGAGTGCAGCCGCCGGTGTATATCGCCAACTCGGGTTGTTTCGAAGCTAGGCGGCGACCACAGCCTTCGCGCATTCACCGGATTAAATCATAAAATTGTCCCGGAACGGAGCCCGGAATTCCACTGATTTACGAGAATGGTCGCGGGGTGGAGGGGCCGGTTGGTCCGTTGGCGCGTACACTCGACGCGCTCGGCACCGGCCTCCGGTATCCGCCGTTGCGTTTCCATCCGTTCGCGTTGGCCAGTTTAGTCGGCTGGTTGGCGCGTTGCGTTCTGTTGCGCTGCGTCACGTCGTGTTCCCGCTATGAGCGTCATTCCGCGCGAAAACGCACAACTCTCGCGCGTTTCAACCGCAGCCTCGAGACAGAAAGAACAGGACGGCGCATCGCGTCGGGAGAACAGCGTGACAAGAGGCGAGAGAGGATTAGCGAGCGTGGAAAGAGAAAGAGAGAGAGAGAGAGAGAGAGAGTTACATTCCGAGTGCACAGCAAGAGGGACGTAGCGGCAGCAGCGACGTTTTTCACGATTCAACGGATATATTTACGAGCTTTGTTCGCCCGTGTAATTCCCGCGACTTATAAAGCGTTCCTGCCATTGTCCGCGGTGGAAATCCAGCGGGAAAATTGAATGACAAACAATGGGCCCAACCGAGGCCGATTATGGTAACAATGTGAGTGGAGCGCGACCGGTGACGCCGGTCCTTGGCTCTTCTCTCTTCGCTTCCTCGACCCTGCCTCGCGCAACCGAGCGATTCAAACACCCTCTTCTCTCTCTCTCTCTCTCTTTTTCTTCGTTCATCTCGCGTCGTGCCGGTCTCCGCGGTCTCGCGGTCGCGTCCGTCATCTCTCATTGATTGCTCTCCTTGTCTCGGGGCTCCCTTTGTCTAGCACTCGTCCGTCTCTGTGTATCCGTCGGGCCACCCTTCGTACTTTTGATTGCACGCGCGCGCGTATCCTACGCGAATTTTGTCTCTGGTGGATCGGCCCGGAGGCGTCCACACAGACGGGATTCGTCGATGAGTGGGACAATGCCTTGTCGCATCGCATCGGAAGAGACGAATATTTCTAAGCGCGTCGTCGTTCCTCTTTGTCCTCTCTCTATCTCGCCGTGTATCGGAAACAATCTCTCCCGATCCGGCCGATTTCGCCGATCTCGGGCGGCAACTCGCGTGCATGCACACCACAGACTTTTCGTCTCCCTCCCCCGGCCAATGTTCGTTTTATCCGACGTGGCCCACGCGGAAGAGAGAGAAAGCGGACGAGTTTTTGGCTGGCTGCCTACTACGCCGATCGGACCGTTTCGCCGGAGCACGATGGAGATCTCTGCTCTGCCTTTGCCGTCCAACTTTCATTCATCGAAACGCCGTTATCGTTATTATTGTTGTTGTTATCATTTGTAGATATGTGTCTCTTCACCTCTTTAGCATTATACGTCCTTTTATACATATATATCGCACGCGTGTCTCTCCGTCTCTAGTCGTTTAGCTCGAAGAATCTCGGAGAATGGGGCGAGCGAACCATCTTTATTTATCGATTTGTTTTTCTTCTATACGTGATTTTCACACGTCCACGAACAACTATTGGACATGTTTTCAGTTATTATTTCCTCTGTTACTTGTGCATGTCTGAAGCGATTTCAACGAATTAGAACAAGTACTTAAATCGAAAGTACTTGCAAAGGATTCAAATATAAGGGCTAAAAGGGAAGTTGGAAGAACGCTACGATAAACGTTGCTCGTTGCGTTTCACCGATCGCTGCTGCGTCTCACCTTCCGAAAACGTAGCCTTGATCGGAGATTAAGAATGGTCGCGAAAGGGCATCGCGTCACGAAGGATAGGTTCGCACGGAGATCGGTCTCGCGTGACCGCCTAGACTCAGCCGAACAAAAGGTTTCTCCTATTCGTAAATCGCAAATCGAATTAAGCTCTCAGGCGGCACGCCATCCGCGATCCAACCGCGATTCGTCAGCGTGTATAAAAGGAAAGGATCGCGATAAACGAAGTCAAGTGAGTTGCGGAACGTATTCACAACCTCTCAACCGCGTCTCACTTCAAGCCGTGTGTGCGCGCGTTTCACCTTGTTCCTTTTTTTTTTTTTCAACGCGGGTTTTATCGCCACTTTTTATCCTTTCCCGATATTATCTTTTCCGATCTACACACACACACACACACACACACACACATACAGAAACATACAGACACACACAGATACACACATATATTCCTTTCGTCGTTCGACGATTCAGTTATCCCGGCTCTGCCGTGATCGTCCAAGCTATCGCGATCCAGTGCATATCGCTGCGAATCCAACGTCGTTACAGAATCCCGTGTACCGAGCGTGAAATTTTCGAGTCGTGCCGGGATGTTGCTGCGTAATCAGACTTTCGTTAGCGGTCCATTGGCTTTCATCGGCGAGGAAGCTGGGTGTGTACCTCTGTAATCTTTGCGGAGAGAAATCGAAAATGAAAGTCCCAACCTATGTATTTATTTCGGAAATTGGAAAAATTCGAATAATGGTTTCTTTTATTACGTTTTCAACCAGCACCAGATGTATTTGTTTCGAAATTGGATAAAATCGAGCAACAGACGCTGGAAAGAATTCATCTACGTTCCTACGTGCTTTGCATCGTCCGCGATTAGAGAAGATTAGAAATAAAATGAAAGGCAATTAAAAATTTCACGATTCGACTCTAAATTGCGACGGCATACGATGGTACACGCAGCTGAGAGATTATTATTACGCGTGATAAGAAAATCCCGAGTATCAAAGATAATTTAAACAGCGAACAAGCAAACGAGAGTACGAGAGAAACGCTCAATCTCCTGAATCGCGCGTAAATTAATAGTCCAGACTCGCGAGAAAGGAAACGAGAGCACGACGATTAAACGTTTAATTTGCCAATGATCCAGGTATGTTCCGTCGATGCGAGAAAGATTTCTGGGTTGGAACGTACCGCCGGAGTACTCGGATCTCGTGCACCCCCACTGGAGAGGGTTCATGGCACCTGGAAAATATTGGCACATCGGACTTGCGCTCATCTATTCGATGCTGCTGGCAATGTCCTGCGTGGGCAATTGTTGCGTCATATGGATATTTAGCACGTAAGTTGCGAGTTTTCTAGCGACAGGAGAATGTGGGCCAAAGTGGGAATCGCGGCAAAGAGAGGTCGGTCTCGTGGTGCCCTCCATCGAGAAACGGTGGAATGCTTGGCCCGCGTCCCGGTGGATCGATCGTCGCCATTCCCTTTCTCGAAAAACGTATACCGTGTACCGCTCTCTCTGTATCGACTACCGCGTCGCGCGTCGCGCGTCGCGCTGAATTTGTACGGTAGAATATGTCGCGCGTCGATAGGACAGAAAATGCTCGAGATGGTGTGTTTGCAGATCGAAATCGCTGAGGACGGCTTCGAACATGTTCATAGTCAGCCTGGCAATATTCGACATAATAATGGCCCTGGAAATACCGATGTTTATAGTGAGCAGTTTCGTCGAGCGTATGATCGGCTGGGAGATCGGATGCGACATCTACGCGGTGTTGGGCTCGGTCTCCGGCATGGGACAAGCAATCACGAACGCTGCCATCGCCTTTGATCGATACAGGTTACGATCCAATTACGATTAGTGATACACTCGTCGAGGTGACGATACCGAATGAACTTTTTCCCCTATTGCGCAGAACCATTTCCTGCCCGATCGATGGACGGCTCAACTCGAAACAAGCCGCGGTGATCATCGCCATCACGTGGTTCTGGGTGACGCCGTTCACTGTTTTACCGCTGCTAAAAGTCTGGGGTCGATTCACTACCGGTAACGAATTCTCAAAGAGCAGTTCTCGCTTCTCTTTTCTTCTTTTTTTTTTTTTGTAAAAGGAAAAAGATACAAGTAGAGGTTCATTTACGTGGACTCCATTTGTTTCAATCAAATTTCGATCGCTTTTCAACCAGTCTGAAGAGTTCCAAGGAATTTTATTTTGTAATTTAAGTATTCATGACGCGAACACACGCGGACTGAACTGGACTCCTATCACATAAACTATTTTTTCCAGTTCTTCCAGTTCGTGTACATGGAATTCTATTGTACTCAATACGCGAGTGCAATACTTACGTGTTCTTTTAATCGAATCGTTCCAGAGGGATTCCTCACCACTTGTTCGTTCGACTTCTTGACGGACGACCAAGACACCAAGGTCTTCGTCATGTGTATCTTCATTTGGTCTTACGTGATCCCTCTGACCTTCATCGTATACTTCTACTCTCAGTTACTCAAGTCCATTCGCAATCACGAGAAAATGCTACGGGAACAGGTTGGCCAAATGAACGCTGTTCGCGTTCGTTTCTCCGACTATCCGTTTCTCTTCCTTACAAATCAATTTCTCCTTTTCTGCGTCCACAGGCCAAGAAGATGAACGTGAAATCGTTGGTGTCGAATCAGGACAAGGAAAGGAGCGTCGAACTAAGAATCGCCAAGGTGGCGTTCACTATCTTCTTCCTCTTCCTTCTAGCTTGGACGCCGTACGCGACGGTCGCCATGATCGGAGCATTTGGCAATCGGTAATCTCGCAGGAATGTTTTCCTCTCGTTCCCACCATTTTCCACGCTGAATCTATATAACGTGTCGTTGCAGCGAGGTACTGACGCCGGTGGCCACGATGTTGCCCGCCTTGTTCGCCAAATCGGTGTCTTGCATCGATCCGTGGATTTACGCGATCAATCATCCGAGGTAACTAATCACTCGCGATTACCCGTGATACGGCGGTGTATCGCTTGAAACGTTGAGTACAAACGAAACGATACTTTATCGCATCTCCGCATCTCTGCGCAGATACCGGCAAGAATTACAAAAGCGATGCAAATGGATGGGCATTCACGAGCCGGAAGCAACCCACGACTCCGCGTCTGCCCAGACTGAGAAGATTAAATCGGACGAGGCATAAATCGAGCGTCCCGCACTTCCAGCACGTTGAAGCGCTTACGGGCACGTTCGGTCCTCCAGCATCTCGAGATCGAGATACACTGAACAACAAACGCGAAAAACCACCACCAGTGTCATCTCGGTCTCTCCCGATTCCGTAGCACATGTAGGGTACACGTAGAGATCGGGAGGATTCTACGTGGCTACGTGAAATCTTGAATCACTATACAGTCGATGTTGAACCGTGCATCGACGCTAATACGCGATTGTACTGTTGTTGAAGCATTAATAATAAAGTAAATTACAGAGCAAAGTGTGCTTGCTGTCCTTTCTCTTCCCTCTCTCTCTTCTCTTTAACGTTGTCTCTTCGTTTGTTTTCTGTGTATCAATTTACGCGTGCGTTTCAACGAGAATTTTTCATTAAACGTAAACTGTTTAATACGGATACAGAGAACGCGGAGCGCGAAACTCTTGAAAATATAACGAGACTGCAATTGGCAAGAGTAGCTCCGTTTCTTTCGCTGTATTTCTCTCAGTATCGGTGGCGAATCGGAAGGAAGTTACGTATGCAAGAGCCAATGTATATTTTAATAGATAAAGTCACGCAAGTTCCTCCTCCCCCATCTGGCCGATCGCTTTTCGAATATATATTTGCAAACTTCATAGTGTGCCGTTTCAAGCACGAGATCTACTACGATTCCATTATCAATTGAACTAGGTAGTCTAGTCTGTCTTAGCGCGCAGGAGAGATTGCGCAACAACTCTTGTAACCTGCGCAGTGATGGACGCGCGATAATTGACTTGGATTCAAAGCGAACCTCGCGCTAACTCTCGTTAATGCCCGAACGAAAATATCGAGCGGCTTTACACGACTTTTCTAGTCGAAGAAACAAATGACTCTCGTCACGTTGGAATAATGTTGGAATAATAATGTTCTCAAAGGATCTAGTCGATTCGCCGCGAGCCGTTGCGAAATTTACAGCGCGCCGTGTTTGTCGAACAAAGCACACACGACGAGTTTTCTTTTAATAACGAACGCTTTTCCCGCGACACCCAAGTTCCTTCTTCTTCCCCCTGTTTTAGCCAACAGAGGGGGGGCGGGGGGGGGGGGAGGAAAGGCGTAGTGGTAGTTTGTGTCGGCGCTTGTTACGGAAAATTGAGAGGATCTTGTTACATTCTCGTTATCCCGATCCCCTCAACTCTCGCCTAGAATTTTCGTTCTTAAGATTCGCAGAAAGGTGATATTTTACGCGAGACTCGCCGAGAAAGAAATTATTTCGTTACACAGATTTGCAGCCACTATTATGCCACGTAGATGTTGCGTCCCTTTAGAAAACGTCTTAACACATTCGTGCCGCTGTTGCTGCTGCGAACGCAATTATTTCCAACTGTGCAATTGCGCGTATTCTTCCCTCCCCCCGCCCCGCTGGAAACGGGTTCGTTTTAAACACGTTGCTACGCCTGTTGCTTTCCTTTGTCTTTTTAAGTAATTTTATCAGAGTGCATAAACACGCAACAGTTGCGTCAGTGACATTACCTGCAATTAGATGATTAAAGTGGCCCGACGTGCGCGATAATAACTTTTCATCGTTGGACCGACTACGATCTCGAAGATTAAAGTCCCCCATTTGCAACAACTCCTTAAAACTCGACATACAATTTTTCTTTCGTCGTCGCTCTATTGAACTTCGGATATTACGACTAAACGACAGGGATGCTGTTCTTCGTTTCGCCGCTTAAACCTGACGGTCAATAAAAGTACAATAAATAACACTCTAAGCTAGTTTTAAATTTTTTCGAGGATTAAAACTATCCGTACATTCCCACCTCATGCACAATGTGAAAACATCTTAGAATTCGCTAACAAGATTAGAAAAGTGGAATTCGCAAGGTTACGATCGTTTAAAATATCGACAATTCCCCCAATAAAATCGTGTGTGTGCACGTTCAATAATACTTTTAACAGCAAACAATTTTCTCCGTTTGTCTCTTCATCCGCGATGAACTCCCTCCTAAGCCATCTAACCCGAGTATCATTTTTCACGAGTGCACGGTCGATTCGCGAGAAACACGACGACAGGGCAACAGAGAAGATTCAAACGGCGGTTCTTTTCTCATGACAGGAAGGACTTTGGGTCCATCGAGGACGGCGAAAGACGATTAGTTCAGCGACGAATGGGAAGCGGTGAAAGTTTAGTCCCGAACGTGGCTCGGATCGTGTGTAGGTACACGCAGTAGATAGTGCACTCGCGTGGCTCTCCCCGGACAGTAGGCGGAGTCAGCGGATAGCCCGACAGTTCAGTTAATATGCAGTTAGTACGTCATTTGTTTCTCGCCGCTTGGAGAGCTTATCGTAATCTCGAACGTCATGGCTTCCCACGATCTCCCGCGTTAGCAACGCTCTGACCTCGCGCTGATCAGACTCGAAATTCGCGGGGAACATTAAGCGCAGCCACGCCGCGACGAGAAACAATTTTCTGATATCGAAAAAGTAATCGAGAGAGGGTCTGATTTGCCTTGCTCATCGTGCTCTCCATCTTTAACCCGATCTGAATCGATAATCACGTGGTAACTCGGTGGCAATTCGATTCATCCGTAACGGAACGTGCACGCGCGACTCGTGCAACGAGGGAATACCCAATCAACCGAAATTTCATCGTATTCGCTGCTCCTCGACAATTTCCTCTTTCTGTTTTTCTCTCTTTTTCTTTCTTTTTCCTTTTTTTTTTTTTACTCTTCTCCGTGAGAAGTCCGTTTTGGGCGCGCGACTTTCGCGCAATCAAAGTTTTCCATGGCTCGTCTGCTGCTGTTGGAGAAAAGCGTCGAGAACAAAGGAGCGAGCGAGAAAGAGAGAGAGAGAGGTGCGAAGAAGGAAAAGCAGGAAGAAGGAAGTGAGTGGAGTTTGACAGGACGAGGGTCCTGGCTTCGAAGAAATCCTTGATTAGATGTTCCCGTCAAAGGGACCCTTCGTTTTCTCAGGATCGAGAAGAGAGAGAGAGACAGAGAGAGAGAGAGAGAGAGAGAGAATAAGAAAAAAAAGAAAAGAAAGAAAGAGGAAGAAGGAGAAAAAGAAGAAAGAAAGAATGCAGACTTAGAGCGTAAAGTAGGGAAGGGAACGAACGACGGTGAACGTGCGAGCGTGGGAAGCGAAGGGATCGGTTTCGGGGGAGCGAATTAAAAATTGTTCCAGTCCGCGAACACGGGAAGAATCGAGAGCGAGGAGCAGCGAGAAAAGGGAATAAGGGAGGCGTTTTAATCGAACAGGTCTCGGGGAAAGGGATTGCGCCGGGGCCGAGAGTAGAAAAGGAACGATCCCACTCGGTTTAAGATACATCCCATCCTATTTCCTGAAGTCGCACCGGCGACGACCAGTTATGGATGTTGAAAATTCAATTACGTGGGATTTATGGCCGCTGACGCTGGGCATATTTATTGTCGTAGCATCTCATTCTAAGGGATGGCCTGGCTCCCGTCGTCTGTCCCCGATTTTCGCGTCACCGTAACGTCCACTATCCAAATATTGCTTGCAAATACACACGTACGCGTTCGATCGCATTTTCCACTCTCCTCTAAATTTCTTCCGTTTCAAGAAGAACAATCTTACGTTTTTAGAAACGTATTAGTAATATCTCTAAATATTTCGTTGCTTCGATCGTTAGAAAGGAAAAATCTAACGCAAAATGTCTGCATATTACTGCTTGCAGTTGTGAAATAAACATACTGAAAAGACTTAAATGAAAGAAAATCAATTCAAAAAAATAAACCGAAATAAACTGCAAGCTTTGACTCAAACGTCGATTACGGTCTTTCAGAAACGTAATACACGAGCAATCGACTGGAATAAAATTAATGTAAATGAGTTAAAAAAGAATACGACGTGTGTACTAGGCGCGTTCAAGTATTAAAGGGTGACAGATAGTATTTTATAGCGTTTAGGCGCTTCGCTTTGCAAGCGTCCTCTTTTAAAGCTGTCTTAATCCCCTGTTAAGCGCGGGGTAATAAACTCTGCAGTGCTCATTAAGGCAGACCGTATAGTCTTTTTGTTCCCTGGCACGAGATGTATATTAACGCGGGCAATAAATATCATCCTTATCGGCAGCGTTTCGCCACCTTGTTATCGTGTATTGATTTTCCAGCGCGAAAAATAGCGAAGCGAAACGCCACCGAAGAGAGAGACTTGGTGAATTTTCGATGGGATCCGCCGGTTCAACACTATGCCTGGCATCTGCGAATCTGAGTCGAGTTTCGTTTGATGGATATCGAACCGCTACTCGAACCTACTACTCGATTACTTCGAACGAACACTGCAATTCGTTCTAATCGTTCGTTAGGGCAGCGCGTGCATTCACAATACGAAACATGAAAAGTAGGAACACTCGAATACGCACGTGTTACAAATTTAAATGTTGTACATTGCGCGTCTCGATGAGACAGTGGCGATGTGCTAAAGCGATGAAATAGCTAAAAGGTCGGCGAGCGAAAACGAAAGTGCACACACAACTGTACACGCGGAGGAGACGGTCGTCGAAGAAGAAACGATGAATGTGGAATTGCGGAGAGAGAGAGAGAGAAGGAGGAGGAGGAAGAGGAGAAAGAGGCGTTGTCGGAGTATCGACTCGAGGGAGCAAAACATCTCACCCCTTTCCCGCACTCTTGCGACGGCTGCTCTCTGAAAGGCCCTCGAAACTTGGTGGAGAAACGGCGCGGTTAAAAATTTCACCTTTTGTTTGAACGATTCGGCCACCTTTGTTTCGCGCGGCTCTCGCGCAGAAGGCATATTAATACGGTCTAGCGGTTATGCTTCAAGAGGCGCGCGTACCCAGCCGGCTTCAGAACGGCGTGTCATTGACACGTTTTACAGGAATCGGTGATTGCACGGAGTGAAATCGCAATCATTTCTCGCTCGAGGCTAGTTTTCTTACTTCAACTCGAGTTTCTACGAGTTTCCGCAAGTTTTTGCAAAACACGTCGTTGCGTATCATTTCGAATTTTCCGTCAGTTTCAATGGTTGATTGGTTCCTTCGGTTCGAAGTCTCGAGCTTTCTCATTCGACGAGCCAGGAACGGTTTCCTCGCATCGATCGTAGCGAGGAGAACGCCAGTCGCAATTATGATCGGGGAAATCGTGAAGCGAATAATCAAGTTTTTATTTTTCTCGCGCGACTGCTGTGTCAACTGCCGAGAGGAATCCTTGAATCATCGGGAGGAGTTGGAAGGGAGTTGCTGTAGCAGCGTTCTCGAGCGGATAAGAGAAAAGGAGGAACGAGGAAAGAGGAAATTCGTTTAACGACCGTGCC